GCATTTGTATTCCTATTGATTGTACTAATAAATTAATTATGATTCCCTACAAACAAAAACTGTTTCCTTCTTTCTTATGAACACCTTTCGTCCGTTCTTATTGTAATTGAGATTCATTAGCTGCAATTAAGAATATAAAGGATTCGTGTTTCTAATTTGTTCATAGGAATGGTAAAATGATTCGAGAAACAAATGATTGGGCAGGGAATATAATTTAATGGTCGTTTATCTTTATTTTCTATATATATTTGATTTATCTATTGACCAACCACTACTAAGGGATTTAAAAAATTTCAACTAAGGATTAAAATAGCTCTATTCTAGTGGCTTTCCACCGCCAATAATTTAAAAGGTTATTTGCTTGAGTCACACTTCTGAATCACTATTCGTCGCCATAAAATTTAAATTATTTCTTCCTAAATTATACTAAATTGACAATTATATCCTCGTATCCAAATTCAGTCCGTAATCTCTAACTTGGACCACCGCTGCCATTCCCACAACCCGCCGCCGCTCCTCGTCCAACGACCGCTACCGTCCGCCCAACCCAAATTCAATCCGTAATCGCTAACTTGGACAACCGCTGTCGTTCCCCCAATCCGCCGCCGCTTCCATTCCCCCACCTCGCCGTCCTCCTATCATTACTGAGAAAGCATATATAATTGTGTGTGAAGAATGGCCAGTATATATTGTTATGCATTAGCTTTCGTGGGGGCAAATGATCATGGACTAAGGATATTTAAGTCATTTTAATGAAAATTAGGGCGACGAATAAAGAGTTTTAGGGCAGCGAATAGTAATCCCCCTCTTTTTACCCTGCTCCCCCTCAGTTCCAGTAGGTCAAGAGTTGATAGGTCACTCGTTTTAGCCCGAAAATATAGAAAGAGTCATTATATTGTACTTATTCTGATAAATTATATCAAATCTCATCTAACATATGAGTAATAACATATAATATTACACCAAAGTAATATGTCATACTTAGGTCCAACATATAATGAAAATTCACATACACTTACATAACATCAATATTCAAAATTTCAACTATGGATTCCAAAAATTAAGTTAAGCGAAAAGGAAAATTCGGAAAATAGACACATTTCGCAAACCAAAGAAAAAAATGACACAATTTGACCTCCAACACGATACCTTGCATCTGTAGACCTGGCGAGTGCGTGCGGCTAGTTTCCTCACCGAGTCAGAATCAAAGTGGGTCGACTCACGGATCGACCCCGCGGGTGGACAACCTTGACTTTAACCAAAGTGAAAACCACGAGAGTTTCACTCAATATAACGGTTCATTCTAAAAATAACTATAAGGGATTCCGATTAAAAATGTTAACCATAGTATAAAATAATTGGCCTGCAAAAATCATGTAGTACGTATATTTATATACTCGTATCTCGATGTTCTTTTCAGGAAAAAAAATGGACTTTGACTCAACCTTAATATCATATTATACGCTCATGTGCACCGTTTCTTTCCAAACGTTGAAGCCGACCAAGCTCACCTCCCAAACCTTGCCACGCCAACTTGCCATTTTTTGCGCAATTCATCCCGGTGCGGTCGCGAAAGTAAATCACCAAACACTTCCCCATAACAAGCTCATGTATTTAGGGTGGTTTGCTTCATAAATTTTAAAATGAAAGGTTTTTAAATTTAAAAACTAAAGGATTTGTTAGGCATTTGTTGCCTCACAGATTTGGAAGCGTCCATTGTTTGCTTGATTGATTTAATCATGGATTTATTTCTTTAAGATGTATATTACCTTACTATCCTTCTTCTTATTAGATTAATAAATTTACTTGTGTTTCTAGTTTTAATTTTTTGGTCATATTGTTAATTGTATTAGAGCTACTCTTGTAACAGGTTTGTAGCTAAAGGGTATTACTTGCCATCCAATTCAAAATATGAATCAAAATAATTATATGCTATTGCTAAACAAATTTGTTCGCAAAGATTCAACGGAAAAAAATGTGACAAAGACCTTCACAAATAGCCACGAAGAATAAATTATATAGTCATTACTCATTAGCATATTATTTGCTACAATATTATTTTCATAACTATAGTTTGTAGTTATAAGAGGCAATTATAGTAGTCAAAGAATAACTAATAAGGGGTAAAGTTGGAATAAAGAAATTATAAAGGGATATTTAAGTCATTTTTCATTAAGGATATGTTCCCTTCAAATTCCAAATAAAAAGGTGGGATTTACAAATCCGTGGGATCCACGAATTTGGTACCCTCCATTTGTACCCAACAAACAATGGCTTTTGGACAAATCCTTCATGTGTTGGATTTAAGAGCCAAATCCCACATCCAAATCCATGAAGCAAACCAGTGGCGGATCTAGAAATTTTTTATAGGGGGTGCCCTCTTCCAAAAATTAAATTATATTAAAAATGAAAAATAAATAATTTATAAATCATAAATTATTTGACTAGTAAAAATTTTAACAAAAAGAGCACGCCGTGATTTCATATTCTGAAAAAAGAATATAAAATAGACTTGATGTCTACTACTCAATAAATCTATACATCCTACTAGATAATAATCACGAAATGATCGCATATTCAATTTCTAACTTTGTTCTTGATGTAACTCAAAGTTTAAAGACTCTTTCAACTCTTGTCGTGTTACCATGTAATCAATTCAAATTAAGGATAGCCCGTAATTAGTTTAATTGTTAGGTTTTGAAAATAGTTGGGGTAAGAAAGAGTGTTTTAACTATTACATAATATTTAAAATAGAACAACAAATGAGTTAAAACCTAGAGAATATGTTTAATATATAATTGTAGTGTTCTAGGTTGAATAACACAGACTATCACTTGTATATTTTTAATCATACGCAAACTACTAACGAGGGTAGGATAATCGTTTTTTTTCTTCCCCAAAATTTAAGGGTGTCCCGGATTACCAACTATAATTTTTTTATCCATACGAAACTATTGCCGGGAGTTGGGTAATCGTTTTTTCAAATTTGAGGGGTGTTTCGGGACACCGTAAAACCCCCTGTATCCGACACTGAAGCAAACGACTCCTACAGCCTGTTTGGATTGACAAAAAAGTAAGGAATTGGAATTCCATTTCCAATTCCATTTCCATATATTATGTTTGGAATAATAAAAAGGTTGAGAATTGAATTCCAATGGGTCTAAAATATGGGAATTACAATTCCTATCAAAAGTGATAGGAATTGAGAGAATGAAGATGGAATTAGTGGGACCCATCAATACTTTTTATTATTTTGTTGACCCACTATCATTTTACTCTCTTTCTCTCTCATTCATATTTCATTTCCCAAAATAAAACAAACATATTACATTATTCATTATGGTTAAAAGTGCAATTCATTTCCATAGTTGTAGGAATTATACCAAACACTAGAATTGGAAATGGAATTCTATAAAAATAAAAAATTGAATTCCATTTCCATTTCCATTTCTTCCGGAATTGTATCCAAACAGGCTGCTAGTACATTTAAATGTGGTCTCAAATAGTTTCATGATGATGGGCTTTCGAGACCACATATTTGACTTTTCATATTAATATTCTTAACTCGAGGATTTTCATAGAAAATGGCATTTTAAATCCCAGATTGAATCTTGTGTATTGTGCTTATATCGGCACTGTGGTGAATCAAAAGGGAAATCAGGAAAACGACGAAGGAAATGAAGAGAATTTTGGTTGATTGATAAGATTCGCAACCACGAAGGTTTGCATGTGGGCGCATGATACATTACCAACGGTCTGGTCTGTTCCTTCCTTCCACCATAGCCGCTTCCTTGATTGGTTGCTAAATTGGTTACTTATTACTGGCTGCTAATTGACTGCATGCCCTTAACCTATTCGATTATTTTATTATGTTGTCATTTACTCTTTACTTTGGAAGAAGGAACAAATTTGTATTTGTAACTAATATTATCACATTTTTTTTGTTGAATTAATAGTATTATCACTTGCTGGCTGTATGATATATTATCACTTCCTTTCCTTCTGGAAGTTTATATACAGCTGCACTCTGGCCTTTATTTATTTCTTAATAATTTTCTTGTTTTGTGCCTAAAAATTCCACCAACTTTCACGATTTGGCTTCTTGCATTTTTCAACCTCAAAGTTCAAACTAAAAGTTATGCACCATCCAAACCTTTAGGAGAATAATCAAAAGTTCAACACTACCCCTCCAACTCAACAAACGGCTCAAGTTTATGTGAGCAGCGATTCCAATCAACTGAAAGTTCCAAATGCATTGAGCAGGAATCAAACCTGTGAATTTGCTCTTTTAGCCTTTATTAGGTTGCGCGCTTTAACCATTCAGTTATGAACTAAAAAAGATTCAGTGAGTAGGTTTTGTTACTTCTCAAAATTTTATTTCTTCTGTTAAATGAGATTCGAGAAAAGATGGAATAGGAAGACGTATTTCCAGAATAAAAGAGTTATCAAAATGTGATCTCTTCCACTCCTTCCTTTCCTTTTTTAATATCACTTGCTAGTTGTGACAACGTGAAATTTTGAGGTGGAAATAACTTTAAGGTACGTAGTGGACCTGTCGTCAAATTTGGATTAACATAAATTTGACTGATCGATTTTCTCTTATGTATAACTCTATAAGGTAATCCTATATTATTACCGATATAATTTAAATAGTAATTACTCTGCACCAAATAAAGTAAATAAATCATTTAATATTCCATGTTAGTAAAAAAAAAAAAACAAAATTCACCATATCCATTGTTATAAAACCTTACCAACATTTTACTATTTTGCTAATGTGTGTTTTTTTTATTCAATTTGCTAATGTGTGTTTTTTTTTATTCAATTTGCTAATGTGTGTTAGGTCTTAGAATTTTCGCTTCTCAAATCTCAGTCATCAATAGGGGCTCGCTTTGTTTGACCTGAAATTTCTCGTGGGATGCTTGTCACCTACGAGTCAAAAGTCTGTTCAACCTCCCTCCACATCACTACTGTATCTCGACCTCCCCATTTCTTTATATATATCCTTCAATATTCAATTTCCACTCTTAATATTGTTTCCAATTAAATTAATAAATCCCACCAATTTGATTCAATTTTGGCTGTTTCCAATAAACCCCCAAAAGGCCCCAAACAAAACAAAAAGAAAAAGAAAAAAAAAAAAATCAAAGCCCGTTCCCCTTTTAAGTTTCTTCTCTTCTTCTTCTTCCTTCTCTCGCCCCCAATTCGCACTTTTCCAGCAGCGGAGCTCTCTCTCTCTTCTGTACATAGAAAGCGCCATAGGAGAAGGGAAAGCGAAAAAGGCGTTGAATCAATCGAAGATGGGATTCTTGAAGGAGGAGAAATCGAAGAGAGTCCTGAGAGGAGTGAAGACGGTGTTCTTCATAATCGTAATGATCTTCTCCTTCCTCATCTTCTCAGCTCCGGTACTCCTCGTAATCGCCGATACTCTCCTCCCTGCCTCCCTCCTCTCCGCCTCCCTATCCCCTTCTTCCCTCTCCTTCAGCACACTCGCCGCCGACTTGAGCAACTACGATTTCCGCTACTCCCTTGTCGACATCCCGCTCGTCTCCATCCTGAGATCCGCCGTCATCTTCTGTAAGTGAAATCACTACTGAAAACTAAAATTAACAATTTCCACATCTTCTCTCTCACTCTCGCGGCTAGCTCAATTCGATTCTGATTCCGATTTGTGTTGTTTTTTGCCAACGATTTCAGGCGTTTACAGCTTCTGCGACGGGCCGAGGCTATCGCGGGGGCCGTACTTGGGGATCACGGCGATTTGCTCCGTCTGCTCGCTGATTTACGTCTCCGCGAAGGCGCCGTACGTTTTCAGCGCCTACCGGATCGATCGGGGCGGGTACGTCCGCGGGATGGAGGCTGCTCTGTTCCTTTGCTCGCTCTTTCTGGCGATTGGCCACGTCGTCGTGGCGTACCGAACGAGTTGCAGGGAGCGGAGGAAGCTTCTGGTCTACAAAATCGACATTGAAGCTGTAAGTTTCCTTATCCTCCCATTGATTTCCGTTTAGGTGTATTTTTTCTTCCCGCAAAAGGGAACCAGTTCGAAGCTACCTCGAAAATCTAGCTTAGCTGCTTAGGTCTCACGGAGCAACCAACTGGATATCAAATTAACGAGTCCTCAGCTCAGTCCTCTCTTCTTCAAATCACCTAAACCTATGAGTTATGGCTATGGCGGATTCTCTCTCCCCTTTCCCTTTCCCTCTCCACTTTCCCGTTTCCCTTTCCTTCTAGATTGTCAGTTTTTTATTAGGGTGTTATTAATTACTGAATTACGAAGTCCACTAAACCGGCTGTGCGCCTAAAATGTGATAATTATTAGGAGCAGTAAATTCCTTTCGTAAAAAAAGTAAAAGCTTGAGCAGTAAATTCCGGGGAGTACTCTGACAACCGCCCAATGGGAATAACGGGTTAAAATGCCTAGAAAATTTCACCTCGGCTGTTGGCTCTTTTGCTTACCAAAGAGTGAAAGGATTGGCGCGTTCTAGAAAATCAACTGGTAGACTAACCAAACATAGTAGTGTGTTGTAGTTGTAGTCATTCAATAACCCGTGATTTTGATTCCACAGATTTTTCAGGGGCAAAAGTAAAAAAGTAAAACTTTTCTGCAGAGAAATAAAATTATGCAACGGAAAAAGGAAAGAAAAAAAGAAGAAAATCAAGCTAGTAGGTGTGGATGGAACGTTGAACTTTTGTTCGTTTACGTGGAAAGGTCAAAAACTGACCGTTTGAATTAGTCAGGTGTTTTCATTATTCGTTTCTCATTTATCTTTTAACCTTTTCCTTCCTCCTCGACATGGGAATCTATTCTAACGTCGTCGTTCTGTATGGATCGCCATCTTCCTCTCAATTTCTACATAAAAGTTTCAAAATTGAACTCATAATAATTATTTCTGAATAATATAAAAATGCCACTTAATCAGGAGATTCGAAACTCAATTATTCGAGGGCTTAACTAACATGTGCTGGTGATAGAGTGATATGGTCCTATTGTTTTTTTTGGTAATGAGACGGCTTGTAATGGGCAGCCGCCCTCGCAAGTGGTGGCGAGGACATTCTAATTTGACATTTGAGGAATAGAAATGAGAATTCAAATGATAAAGAAAAATAATAAAAGGAAGGGTCCAATGTCTGCATTTCTGCCCACATTGTTGTGTCGTCGTCATACAAAAAACCGAACCAATTTGTCCAACTTGCCTCAAGATTCATTCATCCGTCGCCATCGCCCGTCCGCCGCCAGCTAAGCCATTGTTTACGTTACGGCCACAATGACAAATGGCTCGCCCGCCAGAAGGGCCGACCGTTTTTTTGAGATATCATGGTTGTTAACTGTGACGACTTGGTTTTTTGTCGGAAACCGAAATAGAACATAGTTAAAAATGCAATTTTATGTATGAGCATTTTGGTGATGTAGAAATAAATTTTAATTATTTAAAATGTTTTGACTACATTAGTTAGAAAAAATATGATTATGCATAAAATAAATTGGTGACCTCTAGAATCATAAAAATATAATTCTATATAATGCGATTTTGGTTACATTGTTCCGAGAAAACTATGCTCCTATGGTTGGATTGGGTTCGTTTGTTCGTTCTGTTTCCCTTTTGCCGTTATTTCCATTGGTAGAAAGCCGAGTATATTAATTAACTGGGTTTGGTTGTATTTGTTTGTGATGCTTGTAGATCTCTGCTTGCCAGAAGGGACTCCCAAGGTACCAGAAGAAGATCCTGCAGGAAGAAAGAGTCAAGTGACAATTTGCTCGATGCTGGGAAAAAAAAAAAACATTGGGAACACAGAAGACTAACATGGACATCTACAGCATTTTTTTTTTATGATCATCCCTTCGTGTTCTTCAGCATCCCGGTTTGAGGTAATTTCTTCAAATATTCCTCGGTCTTATTAGAATTTTTGCGGGTTTCGACCAGTGGTTGAATGTATGTATCTATGTGGGTGGTACAGGTTGATCCTAAGGATGCCTCTGATTTGGTGATGATTGAAGAAGAAGATGAAGAAACAATCCTTACAGAGATGGTAGATATAAGGTATAATAGCGCTATAGGGGGGCAGTTGAGATACCTGTGTTTTGGGTGACTAGTATTGTCTTAGTCTTATGATTACATTGTACAGATTGTTACCTCGATTTGTTGTTTGTGTATTTGTTGTGGTGCTGAATATAATGGAGATCGTGAATGGCAACTTAGCCAATTTCCTCTCTCATTCAAAATCTGAGATGTATACCTCCGGCTATTTTGTGCATCTTGTCGGAACTAAAATTGATTTGTAGCGACGACAACCTTGGACCAATCACATTGTACGTACCGTGTTCATTTATGTATTATTTACACGAAATCTCAAAATAAGAAGGCGTTTAACAACAATGCTTTCTCCTCAATTACACTAGAATTTAGATGTCCGATCTTCTCTAAACTAGACTATCTCCTACTCTTGTGTGTTGGGCGAATGATTGAACATTATAGCAAATCCCGCTGAATCATTTCCAAACTCAGTGGTTCTTGATACAAATGTTTTAGCTGCCTTATATCAATAACCATGTGTATAATTGAGAGGTTTCTAGTGGGATAGTGGAAAAAATCATACACTCTTTAAATATTTTTAAAGTTTAAATTTTACCCTACTCAATTAAAGCTTAATTGTTTTCATCCTACTCCGCATCTATTGAAAACCCTACGTTATTTTGGTATGTCCTTTAGCATCTGTTGGAAACTGAATTCCCTTCCACTTGTTATTCCTCCAAATGTCTAATAGAGTTTGACTTGTTGACTGAGCATGCTCATCCTCCTAGAACAATTAACAAGATAAAAGATAAAGATTCCTAATTGAAGGTCATGAACCTTGTTTCTACCACTAGATTAACCTTACTCCTATAAGAAAAAACCCACTAGATTAACCTCACAAGTTTAATGTGGATAAAGCACATGATAATCGACTATGTAATGGTTCCCAACGAAAGTAACTATTCTTCATTTATTTTTCAATTTCAAAATTTTATTTCTGTTATTTAATTTAGTGTAAGTAATTATGTAGCTAACCAACTCAACCACAATGAAGAAAGAAATTTGCATAAAACATGTTGGGGGGTTTCAGACTTTCAGTATGCATATGAAAAGACAGGCCACATGAACATGGGTCAGAACTCAGAAGGCCAATGTTGAAGGGGTGTTTTTACATAAGTTAATGGGCTGATGAAGCCCATTCAGAAAAGAGTTGTAGCTACCAGAATCAAAAGTCGGCTACGGCCCTTCTCCTCCCGCTCTCTACCGTTGGAGCGCACCGCCGGCACAAAGCTATTCTGAAAGGAGGAATCGGCGATTCGAGTCTGTGAAACGGAGATAATTTCAACAGAAGCAATCCGAAATGAGGTTCAACCTCGACTTGGATGACTCTGACACGCCGGATTCTTCTTCCCGGCGAACTCCGACTCCCAAAGAAAATGTCCAGTGGATTCCGCTCCAGAAGCATCCCGTATTCACTTCCGCCGAGAACGTCGGAGCAGCGGCTACTGATGCTGCGGCACCGAGGAATCTGCTCGCGTGGGACGGCGCCTCCAGGTTGTACTATTGGGATTCAAGCAAGCAGTACCTCCACCGAGTTTCTATCCGACTGGGCGAACCGGAACCTACTTCCGTGCTCGCTGCTTCTCCGTCCAAGGTACTTCCCGCTAAACCCCAAGTTTTCAATCCCTAATCGGAAACGTTCGACTTGCGGTTTCGTTTATGAATGAGTGAGCGAAAAACTTTAGGATGAGAATGAGCTGAATTCTCAATTCGATTAGTTGCTCTTAGTTTTGTGCAAGAATTTGGAATCCCTAACTGAGAAACATTCTGGTTTTCACGTGACTTAGTCTTCAGTAGTTCTATGTTTCAATTAGTATATGAGTAGGTGTTTATTGGCCTTAAAGCAGCTAATGAGGGAAGTCATTGTTTGTGGTACTAGGTATTGGTAGCAGATGTGAAGATTGGCTTTGTGGTTAACAAGATCTCCATTAATAGAAATGGTTCAGCTTTGGTTCTTGCTGGTTCGGATGGCATATGCGTGATGTACCTTTATGGACGCAGTTCTGCTAGGGATAACACCATTACATGCAGGTACAGGTGGAATTAATAGTGTGATTTTTTCCTTCAGACCTGATGTTGTTGTTGGGAATTCATTGAGCAACTACAATGTTATGACGATTAAGTTTCCTGGCTTACCTTCAGTTTGTCAAATCTGTGTTTTACTAAAAGGTTCAAATTTGTTTTGGACTCTTTATGTAGGACTGTCTCAATCGGTTCCCAGATATATTTTGATGAAAGTAATGTTATACGCACTCTACAAGTTTCTTGGCACCCTTGCAGTGAGACGCATTTAGGAGTTCTTTCATCTGATTCGGTGTTCAGGTACCATCTTTATCTTTTTCCTAGTCTATATTCATTAAGGAAGGAAAGTTAAAAGATCAATTACAACTCACAAGTCACAAGTGTATTCTCTGAAAGGAGAGACCTGTGTTTTTATTTTTTTCGGCGTGATCAAGAATAAATTTCTTGTACTCATTAGATAGACAACGAAAGTAATGTGTGACTGTTATTATTGATATGTTTTCATTAGCTTTTTACTGCATAATCTGCAATGTAATATTCTTGATATTTTGTTGTTGTTCTGATAGCCTGTGGTCTGGCATTGCTTTCTCTCGCTTCTGAATTTGATTGCAAGCTGTGAATAAAAGCTAGCTGAATTCTACCCTTCTTTTCTTGCTAGAATTTTCAATTTGTCTGCGGATGTCCTGCAACCAGAGCAGGAATATTATTTACAGCCTCTTCAACCTGGTAGATCAAGGAATGCTGCTTCCTTGTGTCCTGTTGATTTTTCGTTTGGTGGAGATCACTTGTGGGACAGATTTGCTGTAAGTACACTTGGATCAATACGTATGATGTTTTTTTTCTTCTTCTGGGCTTGGTGTTATGCATTTATTTGTTACATATGAGGAGATGTTATGCTACTTCACGTGCTACCTTTTCAGCTTGATCATAAGGAATATGGTTGCTGTTCATATATAATGCAACATCAATCTAGCGCCCACCTAAGGATTTCTTTCTTGCTTGCAAATCGGCTTGCTGTGTATTATCTTGATTAGCTTGTTTCAGGTAAAAAAAAAAGTAGTAATGATGGAGGATGCAAAATACATGTGTCATAGCAACTTACATTTTAGGGGCCGTTTAACTTGTAATTTTAAATGGTGTATTATGAGGTACATATTATTTTAGATACCAGATCGTTTTTGACAATAGCATCTGTAGCACATTCATTTGCAATAGAATGATTTATTTACGATACATCAATATCACGCTAAGATATGAATAACTTATAGTGTGATTTTTCTTTTTCTTCTGTCTATTACTTTACCTTTATTCCTCAAAAGTTGTCATTGACGTCAAAAGGGTAGATTGTTAACTCAATATTACAAATACGAAGTGGTGTACTTTTTTTAATTGAATAGCGGTGTACTTTTACAATTAACTTATTTGTACAATTGGCTTGTTTCAAAGGTATGCATTAGTGAAATACAAGCATGATCATAATGTTAGGTTCCAGACAACCTCTTATGTTTTCCCTTCTTTATGTCCATTTTGCAGGTGTTTGTATGTTTCAGTGATGGCTCTATTTACATTCTCTGCCCAATTGTTCCATTTGGGAGGTATAACTCATATCTTCATCAGTTACTTCGGGTTAAGATTCAGCTACTTTTGACTTTTGCGAGAAATACTTGCAAAGTTTCCATGATTTAAGCTACTTATCATTCACAGAATGGGGGAAAAAGTGACAACAAAGTCTAGATTTGCTTTATTTGCTTGCATCTTACACTCTATGATTTGCCATATAGCACATGCTGCTTTAAATACTACTAAAATGATTCTCGTATTTCCTTTCGCCGGTTTCAACTGCCTGTTCCGGTAGTAATTCATTTCTCTGAAATGTTCTCTTATGCGTTCTAAACCAAATGCCTATGCACGTAGTGTCTACAAGTGGGACTCAGTTTTGGAGATATATAACGATGCCAACACACTGGGTTTGGAATCAACAAATCCAACTGCAGTTAGCAACTCTAGTCGGGCAGTCTCTTGGTTAGAAGCTACATTTCCAGAGCTAAGTTCAGAAGCAGGGGACAGAGAAAACATTTCTGCAGTGAAAGCTCAAGCCCATGCTTTATTTGATACATCACTCTGCTTGCAGGTACAACCCAATTTATGGATTCTATTTTCCAATTGTTTTAGTGAACTTCTTACTTTCATACAGGAAATTAAATTTGCATAAACTAAATGCTCACCATTTATTCTGTTTATAATCATATATGAGAATGCAAAAATTGCATAGCAATTGTGAACATACTGCCAGCATAAATCTTTTAAGCACGGAATCATATCCATCACTTTCTTCATTTGTTTACTCCAGTGTGTTTGAGACGTCTGGAAGTATGCAATATCAAAGATACTATTAACAGATAGTGTGAACTTGGATACTTCTGGTTTAGCAAGTCTTGTATTTAATCTCCATGGTCATGCAACTAGTTACTGTGGTTGGCAATTGGCACCATCTGATTGTATGATCACTTAACAAGCTTTACTGGGAAATATAACTGTGACATCTTCAGCTGACAAGAAAACTTCCTTTTGGACAGTTTTATGCCAGTTTTTCCACTTATGAACTATATGACGCTGGATTCAACACTGTAACAGATTCCACTATGATAGTTTTTCTGTATTCTTTCAGGGGCCACTTCAGAGAATTCAGAGAAACAGGGCCGATGAAGACTTTGCAGTTTCCACTGGGGTGAGCGAAGGGCGTGCCATCGGTTTTCTCTATAATCTAGTCAGCAAAGACTCGGTTCTGGTTACTGCCTGGACTGGTGGCCAGTTACAGATAGATGCCTTAGCTGATGAGATCCAACCACTCTGGACTCTCGGTAGTGCACCTCGTCTCCGTGTTAATCCCCAGGACCACCAAGTTCTTGGTCTTGCTATGATATGTGAATCAATCGCTCACCACCTCCCTGTTGTGAAGCTCGATGAACCACTTGACCAGACGGTTTGGTTGGGTCACCCGCCACCTCTGTTGAGACTCGCAATTGTGGATTTGTCCTTGCCTCAGAAAAGAGAGAGTGGTTACCATATTCTCATGTTTGCCGATCCACTCTTGCCAGAAAGAATCTACTGCCTTCATGAAGGTGGGGTAGACTCGATTGTGTTGCACTTTCTCCCATTCACCAATCAGTCCAGTGGGAAGGATGAAACTGTCAGGGCTCCGTCTGTCCATCCTGTGCTGAGTACATGCCAGGTGGACAATACTACATCAGTGTCTCCACTCTGTGGTTTTGTGGCGTTGTCTGATTCATTTGGGTATTCATGGATTGTGGGGGCCATGTCCACTCAAGAATGCATCGTGCTAGAAATGAAGACATGGGATTTGTTACTTCCCCTACAAGTTGCTACGGACTACTATGCTAAGGATAAAGAACGGAAGGATATGAATAATGCTCCAGATATCATAAGCAAAGAACTACTTGCTGGTCCCAAGGTGGTTCCTGTTCCTCAGGTGTCACCAAATCTTCGATCCGTTGCTGCTGACTCTATAGAAGGCCGGTCGATGCTTCATCAGTACTTCAAGCTTTTCCATGAAAATTATGTCGAGTATGCCCATAAGGTGACGACGTCTGCTCTTTTTATCTCCTTGTTAAACATATAATAATAGGAATACACAAAATATTTCATTTCACACCCGACTAAATCAGACCAAATTGGTTTGTGGGTGGAATTGGGTTGAACCAATTACAATGCAGTTCATTCTATATTCCATGGATCCTTCTAAAGTAAAAAAAGGCAGATTGAATCGAGAGAGATAGAGCTGCTTCGAATCGAATGTGCTTTTGACCCAATCCTATTCTGGTCCTCATTTTCTCTTTTTTCTTTCCCCCCTGAGCCGGTGCTACGTTGATTTGGCTGGATTCTGTTCCGGACCGAACCATGTACACCCTTATTCTAGAGCTTCTCAAAATAAGCTTTTATTCTGCTTCTGCAATGAACAGTATGATTATCTTCAATCATGGTATTTAATAGCTTAACACATTTCATCTTCCTCTTTTCCTGAAGGTTTACTTCGAGCTGGAGCATCATGGGCCACAGATGAAGAGAATCATTGATGACCAACTGGCTCGTCTCAGCGAGGCTCAGGAGAAACTTGTGAGAGTGAAGGACAAACAGGCTGGTTTGGATGATAGGGTTAAGCATGCAATTCATCAGCACCATACTCTGGAACAGCGTCTGAAGGACTTGAGGAATCTTCCCGGAGTTCACAAGAAGCCTTTGTCTAGAGCTGAGCGGAAGTTCAAGTCTGAACTTGGTAATCATTCTACATCCGTTAATAAAGTTCGTTTGTGGAAATTCGAATAAATGAGAAACAATTTCAACTGCCTGCACCTCATAGTGTTATAATTGACTATGATTGCAGACCAACTTATGGGGGTTGAATTGGACGCATTGCATTCTTCCATTGAGACACTAAAAGCTCGGCAGAGAAGGTATACGACACAGTCTTCAAAAGACATCATCTCTAACCAGCGGAGGAAAATACCAGGGAGGAGCCATGCCCTGGATGCCCAAATGTCCCAACTAAAATCTTCACTCGCTAAGCTTTCGCTTATTAATTCCGAAAACGCAAAGAAAGTAAAGGTTGTAGAGTCTAGCTTGAGAGCTCATGGAAGCGGTAAATAACTGAACCATGTAGTAGCTGTGAGGCTGAACTGAACATACATGTCTTTGTCTCAGGCTGCAGCATTCTCAGAATAGAAGCCAAGGTGCAAATGTTGTATTTAACGCTTTTGATACTTGTGTTCTGAACTTCTGATATAATGGCCACATACCAATAGGCGCAATGCAGAAAATATGTTACTCTGTTCTCTGTGCTCTTTCCTGACAGACGCAATCTGGAAGATCCTTTCGAGGGGATGCCCCGAAGAAGCCGATGCAGGTCAGGATGCCTTATCATTTCCGTATTATTAGTCATTACTCTATGTTCACTTTTCAAATATATGATAATGATCATGTATGAAGAGAACGCCGTTGATCCATATGATTACTCAATCATGACATTTATTTCTTAAGGGCAGTTCTGGAGGTTTCTTAACTGCATTCCCTACTCCTCCCCTTTAGCCTAGAATCATTATCATTGCCTTTTGTAACCTTTAGAAGTGGAGCCATCCAATTGCCAGCGGCTTGTAGGGCACTTGGATCATGAATCCCATTTCCCCTCAACTGCTGTTTTTATATTCCACTACAAATGGTTTCTTTAAGAATTTGGCGATATTGATGATGATTGATTGATTTAGGGTTCTACACTGCTTGTTCCTGATATCGTCGCCGCACATTGATATGGTACCACTTCTGTTTTGGGGTTGTCGGAAAGAAAACTAGCTTATCTTCCTCAGCCGGCTCCCAACTGCACAACCAGAAAGAAGAATCCTCAGGCAAAAGGTAAAACACCTTAAACCCACATTGGAAATGAAAAAAACTATGATGTAGATGTGTATTTAGATTCGATTTACCTGAAACGAGTGACTAAATGACGAAGGAATACAAAGAGTTCAACTCTAGCTAGCTCATAACCTGGGCAGAGTCGCCCCCCTCTGCCGAATGGAGTGTACACATTCCCAGAACTTGCTGCTTCTGAGTTGTTCTGTCAAAATATTTTGTTGTTACCCCACAGTTAAACACCAGGCCTTGAAGTGTCTAGGGGGAACACTTCCTTTGTCATTGTTCTTCGGTAGGAGCGTAAATATATTACTGAATACTGAATAGTTAGTTAGTAAAATACGGTACGGGAAAGTTACGTATAAAATATGTACGGATATTTTACTTCGTCTGTATGCTAATGTTACGTTTAATAGTACGTTAATTGTCATAAATATAGAAAAATTAATCATTTTAAAAATAAATAAATATATTAATAATAGTAAAGTTAGTAATTTAATTCATTAAATACGGATATTAAACGTATTATACGGGTTTTATACGTGTTTAATACGGGAGCCATCAAATGAACGGACAAAAATGAAACTGCTTGACAATAATACGGATATGGAAGTTTTAAAAGGATAAAGTACGTACGGGTACATATACGTGTATTAAACGGAGTATTTAGTAACTATTAGAGGTGGCAATTAGGATTCAAATCCATGAATCCAATCCAATCCATCCATCAAATTATCCACTTAATCCAATCCATTTAAATCCAATCCATTTGATCCAAAACCAATTGGATTGGTGGATTCATGGATCAATCCATGGATCCAAATGACAAATTACGATTTGGTACCTATATTTTTTATGTTTTACATTTTGGTACCTAAAATTTATATTTTTATACAGAAAAAAAAATCATTGGAAAATTACATTTTGGTACCTAAAAATTTTCATTATGACATTTTAGTACCTAAACTTTTCAAAATTTACATTTTGGTCCAAGCCTTGGATGTCATTTGGATTCATGGATCAATTTACCAATCCATTTGATCCAATCCATGAATCCACCAATCCATTTGATCCATGGATCCACCAATCCAATCTACGAATCCACGAATCCGATCCAATTGCCACCTCTAGTAACTATGTGAATACTGATAATGTAGTTTGCCTGCCATCTCCAGGGACCAGGGGTTAAAAGTTCGAGCATCTTTGAAGTGATCCTGTAGGGGTGATAGCTTGGTTTGGGTTCGGGTAACCGAACCAAAACTAGTGCACCCGAAACCAGTCTCCCTTGAAAACCGAACCCGAACCTGATACCTCAAGCTAGGGGTGGGCATTCGGTCGGTCCGGTTCAAACCGAACCAAAATTATGCATACTGGGTCCCTGAATTCTATCAAACCTCAAACCGAATTCGAAGCGAATTATAATTCGGTTCGGTCGGTTCATCAGAGTCCGCCTCATCATCATCCTTGGTGCCATTGACGTTAAGCTTCTTTGACGCTTTGTCATGCTCTTCTTCTTCATCATCATTATCATCATTTTCTGCATTCTCACCCACATTTTCATGAGCAAGGGAAAATTGTACCGACATTGAGACACAATATAACATGACCAAGATGAAGGTAACACTTCAGTAATAAAAGCTTCCCACGCACCTGTATCTTGAATTACTCAAATGGACATTGCATTCACTCAACAATAACTCTTTGTTTAACAAGTTGATATCCATTACTGAATCAGCAAGCAGTAGCTAGCTAGGGTTTTGCTTACAGCGGAGACAACTTTCACATTAGGATGCTATTCCTTGTAATTGTAAACCTTTCTGAACTCTTCTCTACAATTGTTCACATTGCACTATCATTCACTCGTTCGTTCATTACACAAACTAACTCGTGGAGGGAACTAACTCCTAAATTGTTATATCAAACTACACTTCGATTTACTTCTTGTTATGATAAATTACTGTAATTTTTCTATTTGACTTCTTTGCTATTGCTTCATCTCTGTCAATAGTTGTAGTTTCATATTTATTACTGAGACCTCGCTGTCCACCAACAATGGTCTATCCCTTCTTCTCATTCTCAACAACGTCACTACTCACTATCAGTATTTTAGAATCCACCATCTCCACTATCAATAGACTCTTTCTTCTTTACCTTGATTTTGATTGAAACTTTACTTAAGTGTAAAACTAAAATGTTTGCAAATATGAAACCTTTATCAATTGAATATTTTAAACTAACACAATAGTTTAAAATCTCACATGTTAGATTTCAAACTAAAGGTTATAAATATTTTATTTGGACACATTTATTATTTATGAATAAAAAATAGATAAACATGAGAAAAATTGGTTCATTTATTATTCGAAATGCTGGTACGGAAGATAGAAGGTTTTTCTCCCGAATGGGATGTGTAGAAAAATTCAGGAAAACTTGAATTTTCTTAGGATTCATAAAAATATGACGTGTATGAAATATTATTAGTTTAGATGTTTAAAAATGCTTTATTTTAATACTTTAAATGACAAAAGCATCCTTCCTACAAACTCTCACAAGTCACCAGGCTGAAATTTTTGAATAGAGTATGTTATTATCGAGAATCTCCATATAATAGTGGTATAAAGAACATGCATTTACGGGCTGTGGTGTCGTGCCGGTGCCGCCATATTCTCCACCGATAAATATATAATATTAAATCAGGGCTTTCATTTGTAACCACCATCGAACCTCGATTGGTTTGTTATATAAAAACACCTCGATCGGTTTGACCTGTTTTTTCTAGTTGATCATTTTTAACCCAAACTTTTTCTTCAACTTTCAATTATGATTATTCTTTTAACAGCAAACGCCAAGAACAATATGTTGCCATCGTCTTCCATTAGTGGCGGTCGGCCCGATTCACCCGCAAGCGAGAGAGACAGATGAATATTGATCTTATCATCATCCCCGTCGTCCTTGAGCAGTTGAGCTTCTTCTCAACCACAATGGTGGTAATGTCGGCCCGGCCGGCACGGCACTTTAGATATTGCCGGCATTTACGTAGGCTATAATAATACATAAAAAGTACGACGTTACTTAACGTAGATCCATGCTTGACCAACTAATGGGCGATTTAACTTTTTTTGTGGAGAGTAATTAGCAGCTGCCACGTCCTTTTCATCCAATAATTCTGTCTTCGTGTCCACTCGTTATCCAACCCAAAAACTGTGACAGCATCTAATCATGCTATATATTTATTTTATTTTATGATGGTGGGTTGACAGGTGGAGGCTAGTGGAAGGGGCGTCGTCGTACCTGGGCCTACCGCAGCCGTTGTCGGCGATCGGGTACATCGAGTTCGAATGGAGGTGGTTGTTTTGATCGTGTTTTGAGAATCTAAACTATTATATTATTGGGTAAGGAATTCACAAACTGCAACTACATATGGCCATAAAATCAGTTGCAGAGGAAATATAGAAGAGCTTGATAGTACCGTCGTCGAGTTGTGATTTTGATGACGATTTGCCTCTATTTATTATCGTTACTAACATGGTACTCTTCTCCTCCATGTGGTGAAGACGTTGGCATCATACTCTTTTGTTGGAATATATGACGTTAGATGTCTACATGATGAAGGCACGATTATTAGTCAGGGGTAGTTTAATCATTTGTTAGGGTTAAATCGATTAGGGTTTCGGATTCGCGTATATATATTGTCGTTTACCTATTTCGTCATCAATCAATCAATAAAAAAATTATCAAAGTTACGTAGATTATCCCAATCTCCCTCTCCTATCCCTAATTCCATTATGTTCTTTTCCAAACCCTAAATATCTTCTTTATCAATCCCGAAATCAATCATCTCTACCCATCATCCATTCATCGGATGGTATCAGAGCGGTTTCAATCTGCGGATCCGTTAGCACAAATCTTCGAGCCGTTCCTACGCCAGCTCCATGAGCATGTTGTCTGGACGAAACAATTGGGAAAGGTGGAGGTAGACCAAGCGACTGAAGCCGCGGTCATGATTTCTGCGTCGACAACACCCAAGGATGCTCACGAAGAGAAACCGACTCCCGCCCCTATTCCACTGTCGTCACTGCTACTAAGGGTGTCGCTACCTTCATGGTTTCGACGCCATCTGTGCCCTCACCAATCACGAGGTCTACCGCAGTAGTACTTACCAAAGAAGTGTCAGCGGCGTTGCCGCTCATGACTAAAATCGCCTCTCCGAGTATCGTACCTCCATCGGCCAAACCCACTTCGTATAGGACGCCCACCATCCAGATTCAGTCAGCTCTCGAGGAGCCGCCGCCGCCTACTACTATGGGTAGCGGGACGCTCGACAACAACTCGCGCCGATACAGGGGATTTCAGGAGTTGGTCGTATACAGAGGGGGAGGCAGCCACATTTGCCCCTGTCCCACGACAGGGGTCATTTTTTACTTGGAAAAAAAATACACCCCTCCACACAAGTATCAAACCCAGCACCATTAGGTCACACAACACAGCTTTACAGCTACGCTACATCCGATTCTTTGATTATAAGTAGAAACATTATAAATATAGTCCGTTCCTAAACGAAATCCCAATTAAAAAAAGCTTAATCCAATCCGTTTACTCCTCAACCCTCTTCGTTTTTTCACAGCAGAAGACAGACAGGCGACAGTAGTTCGGGACTTCGGGCATCCAGCGGCAGGGGAAAAGAGGATTTTTCTCCGACCAGGCGACCACCAATCCAACCCGGCAACCCCAACAATTTTCGTCTTTTCTCCTTGCTTTCCCCTTAGACCTTTGCCTTTCGTTCTCCTTATCACCTCCTTGCGGCAACTACCAGTAGACTGCAGACAGGCCAGCCGTGCCAGCAATCAGTAGACAACAAAAATCATCGTCCACAGGCAAGCGACAGTAGGCGTTGGGCGACAATCCTTCCATTCTATTTCACCTTTTTGTTCTTGGTAAGCTGTGAAATTGAAACCTGAAATTATATTGTGTTGTTCACCGATGTAACTCATGATAATTGTGTTTGTTGATGGATATGTAAATAGAACTGAAATTGTGTTGCTTATTGTGTAATTTTCTTGGCAAATCAGATCTTTCAAATGGAGAAGTATTACTCTCCAAAGAAGAACAAGACTTCCCCAATTACTATAGCCCAAGATTTGGAAGGAAGTGGAAGTAGACAAGCCCAAACTTTTCCTCTTTCAACGGTGGTGGTTCCTTCCGAGAATCGACAATCAAATGATTCGGTTTCGATAAATCAAACTTCACAATAAAGTGAGTCTTCATCTTCATCTCAAGAAAGTGAAAGTGAGTCTTCCTTTGAATATGAAGAAAGCCGGTTTGATATGAATTCATTGAAAATGGATCCGGGATTAAGAGATAAAGTTTCTAGTTTTCATCCTGATGTGCGAGATAAAATTTCTAGTTTTCATCATGATGTGCAAGATGAAGTTAGAAGGTTTTATCTTGAAAATGGTATGTGCCAACCTAAAGGTCATCGTGTTCCATATAGTGACTTTAGTGGTAAGAAACGCAGATTCCGTTCATCTTGGTTTCTAGAGTATAATTGGCTTGAATACAGTATTGAGAAAGATGCAGCATTTTGTCTCTACTGTTATTTTTTTGGTAATAAAAGTGGAGCACATGATGGTTTGGTTGGTGAAGGTTTCAGAGGGTGGAATAGAAAGAAGTGTTTTGCTGATCATGTGGGTAGGCATAACAGCTTCCACAACAAAGCTAAAGGCAATGCAGACTTTTGTTGAAGCAATCACGAGGTATTGTAGCTAGTTTATCTAAACAATCAGATCAAACCAAAACAGATTATCAAACTCGATTGATGGGTTCACTTGAGTGCATAAAGTTTCTTATGCGGGGGGGGGGGGGATTAGCTTTTCGTGGGCACAATGAATCATGATCTCCAAGCAACAAAGGTAAATTTCTTGAACTATTGGAGTTTCATGCTTGGGGTAGAGAAGAAGTAGAAAGAGTTGTTTAGAGAAATGCTCCAAAAAATCTCCAATTGACCTCCCCAGATATCTAGAAAGATCTTGTTCATGCAATGGCTTCTGAAACAACCAAGAAAATTATTCAAGATCTATGAGATAACTTCTTTTGCATATTAGTTGACGAGACTCGTGATGCTTCAACCAAGGAACAAATGGCCATTGTTTTACGCTATGTGAATGATCATGGTTTGGTTATGGAGAGGTTTCTTGGTACTACTCATGTGGCAAATACCAAAGCCTTAACACTTAAGGGTGAAATTGAAACTATGCTTTCAAAACATGGATTGAGTATGTCAAGAATAAGGGGACAAGGCTACGATGGAGCTAGCAACATGAAAGGACAAATCAATGGGTTGAAGAGTTTGATCTTAGCTAAAAATTCTTCTGCTTATTACATTCATTGTTTTGCACATTAGCTTCAGTTGGCTCTTGTTGCTGTAGCTAAGAATCATCTTGAAGTTGGTGATTTTTTCAAGACTGTCAATAGTATGATGAATCTTATTGGAGCATCTTGCAAACGATCTGAGTTTATT